TCTCTCTCTCTCTCTCTCTCTCTACGTCTCTCTCTCTCTCTCTCTCTCTCTACATCTCTGTCTGTTTTATTTGCGTGAAACACAGATTTGGTCCTTTTGAACAGTTATACAGCTTTATTTATTACTCTTAACAAAAATAGATGAAATAAATAACATACTGTTATCTAAATATGCACAAATTTGGTGGAACAGTATTTCTGCATATATCAGTTCAACATGAACGACGGGGCAAACAGTGTTTACCTTGATACGAGTTCCTCTAAGCAGTTCACTGGTTCCTGCTTTCTTTTTCGTTTCCGTTCCTGTCATGCAACAGTGATTTGCCAAACTTTGAAAAAAAAGTGTTCACAGTGAACAGACTGCATGTATGACCCAAACCACTAGATATGCTCATGTAAATAAATAAATCGAAACATGATAATGTTTTAAGAAGATCAGGGCATCTCTCTCTGCAGCCCTTTCTGTATCCTAAAAAATCTGTAAGACTTGCATAGTTATCATGTTTGATCTTTTAAATTTAGTTTGAGCGTTTGTTAAACAACAGAATGGGAGAGGAAGTAGCAGGTCAATTGTTAAAATAAACTCTCAGCCAGGAAATGCATGCATTATGCATTGACCCTTTTAATGATAGGTTATTGATCATAGATGTGGCTAATGATTGGTTCGAAGTGCACTCAAGTGATTTAGTGTTGCGCTTCTAGAAAGATCATATGCAGAGACCCTGACTGATGTGGAGCTCAATACTGTCTCTCATTAGAGCACCCACGTCTTTCCAGCTCCATGGCCCAGTTTGTAACACAGTCTATTCTGTTTAACGGCTCAGGTTTTCTCATATATTAGACGGCCCCTTCAGAGCCACAGAGGGCATCGTATTATTGGTTTTACAGGCTGACTAATACTAACCATAACAGCTGAACTGATCCCTCTACATGTCCAAAAATGTCCAAATATTCCTCTACTTGTGATAGAGTTGCACATGTCTTATTGCTTCTCTTTGTTTCCAGTGACCTGGAGCCTCTTCCCACCGAGAGACATCCCTCCCAGAAGGAGCCCGAGCAGCACCTTAGGGAGCCGGGTGCCAACGACGGCGGCAGCACGGCCCCGCGCAGCACTGAGGGCTCCTTCTCCGAAGACGTCTTCACCGAGACGGAGCTGTCCCCCATCCGTGAGGAGGAGCAAGCATCTAATGAGGACCTCCGCCTGGACAAGTCCTCGGGCGCTTCCACGGAGTCTGTGCAAACCGTCACCCAGGTAGAGGCCAGCGGTGCCGCCTCCCGGGCCCCAGGTGGTGCCCTCGGTGCCAGTCAGCCGGAGGAGAGCGCCGCGGCGAAAGCAGAGGACAATCCATCAGACACTGCCACAAAGAGCGATAGCCAGTCCCCCGTAAGATCCAAGCAGCACAGTGTAGAGAAGTCACCAAGCACGCCCACCACCACCAGCAGCAGCAGCACTAGCCAGGGCCCCAGCAGCAGCAGCAGCAGCACCTCTCGCCCGGGGTCCCAAAGCTCAGCCACCCCTGGTGCCGCAGACACCACCTCTGTCTCAACCAGTCCACAGGGGAAAGCCAACGAGGGGACAGACGTCTCCAAAACGGACACTATGCAACAGGGCAAGGAGGAAAAGGAGGATGTAGAGCAGACGCCAAAAGACGGCACGCAGAACTCTGCAGAGGGTAAACACCTTTACATAGTAACAGTTGGAAAACGTGTGACTCGAAGCTCGTGAAAAACAGGTAGAGGACATTTCAGGTGATGAATCTGGCTTCATGGTGTCTTTTAGCTGCAACCCCTACATCCATTTTCTTCTGAAGACTATCAAAGCGAGTTCCTCTCCTCTCGGGCTGCTTCAGAATCACGTCTCTCATGTTGGTCCCCGATAACCTTGCTGTTTCCACTCTGCCTTGGTAGTAATTGGAATATAAAGAGGAAGGAAAATGGCAGCCTCTCTGTTGTTATCAGCTCGGCGGAGCTAGCCGGGCTTTATGCAGCTCTTTGATCTCGGGCTCTGGTGGTCTGGGCCTCTCCTCTGGGCGATAAGCTAAAGCCTATCAAACACCACAACGCCACAAACATGAGTGATGCCCAAAGGCGAAACACGGTGGCGATGAAACCCAACATCAAAACACCTTCTGAGACAGCATTCAGAGAGGTGTTATTTACACGTGACATCCTTCTCTGGGTTGCTTTCATGTGGATTTAGACAAATACTACCTTCCCCAAAGCCTGGAATAAACGTGTTTTGTTCTCATTGCCATGTTTAAGATTAAAGGATCAGTGGCTTTGTTTTAACCTGCCAACTATGGGTAGTTACTTATTGGTGGTCCACTCCACGCTGGATGATATAACAAGCCTCCTTCCAGTAACGTATATACGAAACCAAAAGAAAAACTTGAGTCAAAACATGTGGACTTCTTTAGTCTTGTAAATGTAATATATTTATGTGCAATATTTCAAATAAGGTGGACACCAAATAGAAGAAGAAAGAAAACAAATGCCACAAGCCGGTTCTTCTTCTTTCTTCATTATGCAGGCTGTCTGTCTTCTTAACAAGTAGTTTCCTTCTCAAAAACAATAGACAATTTCACATCAGCACATCGTCTTTCAGGTTTCCTGACAACTTCGACAAATGGCAATTTCAAATTATCCTTGAACGCACCAACAAGTAGTTTTATAACGGCCCTTTCTCTCAACTGTATCGCCACCAGCAATAAGATAAAGGTAGCAGAATCCCTCCAGCAAGATGATGGAACTAAACTAGGAAAGCAGTGACTGCCTGGAAGTTAGGTAGTTAGACAAGATGTGCTCGAGTTAATGGCTGGCAAATCTTATGCAGTTAGTAGTTAATTGGCTAACATATACAAAACCATGGCAGCATCCTTTTAATTAAAGCCTGGGTGGCACAGTGTGGGTCTTGTTATCCGACAGTATGTCACACTCACTAGTGTCCATACAACCCACTATCCACTCTAGACACGCAGTTGTGATTCCAAAAGAAAAGATGTCCCTCCTCAAGAAGAAACGGACCAAGACAGTTGGAGAGAGAGATTTGCCATTTTCTCCCCGTCAATTATTGTCACGCAGAGGAGCCGGGCTGCGAAAGCAGCTTTAATTCACAGGGATCTCAGCAGGGCTGCCCATTACTCTGTGCACATTAGCGCAGCCCACACAAGTAACCTCAAAAACAGGCTGCATTAATACAGAATTAATGCATTCTGAAAAGTGAATTTGTCCCACTGAGCGTGTTGTCTAAGCGGATTATTTTGTCTGTCGTTATTGCTAGTTATGTTGAGCTGCCCAATCAGGAGCTGACAAATTGTGGCAGTGTAATGTCACTGGTGCAGTGATGTCATTCAGCTCCCTGGGGCTGCGACCTTATAATAGGCCATTGATAATGTACCACGGGCGGAAGACTCCGTGCCACTATCAATCATAGTGTGCTTCTCCATTTGTTTCTGTCATCTGCTGCGTTTCTGCCAGTTGAAGTAGCCAGTAAATAGAGGATAGAAAACTAGGTCACATGCATAAAGCAAGTATAACCCGGAGAACACGCAGTTAATCAACCAGATGTGTTTGGGTTTTAGATGGCAGAAATTTGAAACTCGAGAAATATGCTGCTTTGCTTTCCTGCCAGAGTTCAGATTGATACCACTCTCGTGTCTGTACAGTAAATATAAAGCTGCCAAAGGTTTAATTAGCTTAGCATAAAGACCGCTAACCTGGCTCTGTCCAAAACTTGCAACGTCTGCCTAGCAACACCTGTAAGGCTCTCTAATTAACTTGTTATATCTCATTAGTTTGATCTATACAGGCAGCATAAGTGTAAAATCGTATGTTGGGCTAGCAGTTTCCAGTGTGTAAGCTAGGCTAAGCTAACTGGCTGTAGCTTCATATTTAGCATACAGTAATGTTGATCTTCTCATCTAACTCACAGCAAGAAAGCAAATAGGCATGTTCCCCCAAAAAATAACACATTTCTATGCTTTAGTGACCATGTAATGATTTCCTCTTCCAGGTACAGGGTCTGCGGAGAGGCGGAAGCACCCCACTCACAAGTTCCTGTGTCTGCGGGTAGGGAAGCCCATGAAGAAGACCTTTATTTCTAACGCCAGCGCCTCCATGCAGCAGTATGCCCAGCAGGGCAAGAAGCACGAGTACTGGTTTGCTGTGCCGCAGGAGAGGTCAGTGTCTCTGCCACACCTTTGAATACAAGCAAATCCTTTTTTGTGGTAGCCTAAATAACATTAGTGAAACCAGTGCGGTATCTGATGATGTGGAACAATCTTTAAAATGGAAAAACTACAAAGTAAAGTACATGATATAGTAGCCTCCGATAGGTCCACTTAGAGTGCAGCAGACTTTGTTTTTAATGCAGAGAGCTGCAGGGATTTGACCTAGCCTAACCCTAGCATACTCCCAACACACCACAATATTCAGCTGAGTTACCGAGGCGCCTCACCTCCAGTCCATTTAATATTTGAAACCAATCAAATATGCACTCTTTGTCAGGTCTGACTCCCACTGCGGCTCCTGCCCATCTCCCTGGGCTGCCTCTGCCAGACAGCGAAACGATTTATTATTCATTCACTCTGCAGGGAAACAGACATGCACTTTATTCCTGCGCTGGGACACGCACACAAGCCATCCAACAATAAAGCTTGTGTTTTTCCTAGTTTTGTATCCTCGGAAAGAGTTCCGCCCACAGAAATGCTCCTGAACTTGTTCTGACCTAAGCTGTAATGTTTTCTATCATCTGAAAATAGATACGGCTTGTTTATGTGTTTTTCCAAAGTTGGAGCGCTCCGTCTGGATGTAGAGTTGCCAAGCAAGCAGCAGTCATAATTACATTACAGCTCTTCGTGCTGGAAGGAGACGCATCTCATGAAAAAGTTGCGTAATATGTTTATATGGAGAGTTAATCCCAAAAGCTTAATTTAATAAATCAGAGGCCATTTATTACAGCCAAATCTGGCTCCAGTACAGTGGTAGTTCAATTGTCTGTCGTATCTTTTCAGAGAGAAGGATGCAAAGGAACAAAAGTGGTGATGACATACATGAGGTGGATCTGATCAGTCACTTGTCCCGCCTCTGTTTTCAGTACATGGGTCTGTACTGTTACAGCAGCAGCACACGTGGTGTTCTCTCAGGCTCTTAATCACATTTGAATCAAACAAACAGGCATGTCTTTTATAGTTAGTCACGGTACCATGAATGCTTCTTGGTTATGTGATGTGTTGAGAGTGCAGTAATGACACAGAACAACCCCCCCCCCACGCCTTCATTATGAACTTCAGGAGTCTTGTTTGTTATAGCGTTGTTGTCATCCGCCGGTTGCTTAGCTGCAGCGTTTCCCACCTGGAAAACAAGTTTGCTGCGATGCACGCTGCTCCTGGGGACGATAGCCCCGGGGGCATTCCAGATTCAAAGCTAGTATTTAGAGACGTTGCGCGTACATGTGACTACTGATTATTTTTTATTTGTCTTTCCTGGCACCGCAAGCGGGCTGAGGTGTGTGGGAGGAGTGATCATAAGCTGTTGGGACTGACAACACAGCGGCTCATAGTCCTTTCCTGCAGACGCCGCTAGACTCTGTAGCTTGACCTAGATGGGAGGCGACCCGCATGATGTGTCTTTAAGTGTCCTGGCAATGGTGTGGGAAGAAAGGGAGGCCATTGAAGGGAGGTACACAACCACAACACTGAATGAAGCTCAGCCTACCGAGTCTGCACAGCTCTGTCATGTCCAAAGCAGTATGTGACACAAACTGTGTTTGTTTTTAACTCTTCGTGAGTTATGCCGTACCATCTTATCATATCCTAAACTGTTCACATGGTTCTCATGTAAAGGCAGACACAAGGGGAGAGCATAGAGGGGCAAAATGATTGTCGCAATGTTTGAGGAACATTAAGCAGCTAAAGAGACGGATGTTTTCCTCAGGAGTTGGTGGAGACCAAAATGGAGCTAAAAGGAGAGTGACTATGGGACTTTCATTATTTTGGTGTCCAGAAATACGACTCCAAATGAATGCCAAGGTTGCTCTTTTTGCTTTAATGTGTAAATAAGAAACTATTAGCCAACCCGTTAGCTATAATAACTTCATCATATATCAATGTTGTATTTACAGCTTGTTGAGCTGCCCACAAGGGAACAACAAAATGAATGTTCAAGGTTCAACTATTTGTTATTATAGGACCATTTGTTCCCAAAGTGTTCCCACACTTAAGCACAAAGTGACAGCTCTTGTCGCAGAATACTCGATAAGAACACACCGTGTCACACAGGCAGGCAGAAATGAGAAGACGAATAAAATGTTTTGTTCAGTGACTGTTGATGTTGAAATGCTTGCTTCACAGCCATTAGGGCTGTTTCAGAATGCTTTAACATACAAAGTATTCAGTAATTCTCAGGACATTCGGGAGTTAATGTCCTGATGGGAGTTGTGTTTCTTCCCCCCAGGTCAGACCACCTGTACGTGTTCTTCATGCAGTGGAGCCCGGACATGTACGGTGAGGGGGTCAGAGGGATGGGACAAGAGCCTGGGTTTATGGTTGTCAAGAAGAATGATGTGTCAGAAGCGGCTGAGGACGAGCCCATCACTGACCTCAATGTCAAGGAGTGGGAGGTAAGGTCCACACGGCTAAAACCGCTCCCTCACTTTGCTTAAAGCACACCTGTTGTGTTGTGTTGTCTCAAGCTTCACACACATGGATTAAGTATAGTTCTCCGCTATGGTTTAATCCATAACCTGTGAAACCAGTTTATTGTTGTGTGTTAATTTACATGTTCTATATAAATGTGTTGATTTGCTTTCATTCTGTAATGCATAGTCCAAACGTATTGTGCTGATCATGGTTTTGAATCCATCAGAATTGTGCAGTTGTCAAAACCTTACTTTCGTATTCTGCTTCTGTATATTGCACTTCTATGTACCACTGCATATTTCTTGATTTGATGGTAACTTTTTTTGTGTGAACTTTCTACCACATGTAAGTTGTGTAAGTTGTGTGAACACTTGCTTTGCTTGGAAATGCGCTCCACTGAACTTCCAACCAAAGCGTTTTGCATGTTTGTGTAATTGTTTACTCTTCTCAGTTAGTGTAATGTAGTTTCATCACATGTACGACTGTCACTAGCGTTGGTCAGCATTTGGCAACTTGTTTTGCTGAATGGCTAACACAATTATGAGTTGCTGCAGGGAATGTAATCATTGAGCACTTTAACAGTTTGGGGAGTTTTTTTGGTTCTGAAATCGCCCCAAACTCATGTGGCACTGATGTGGGTTCAAGCTGTCTTCCTTTCTCGTCAAACTAACTTCTCAAGGTGTCTTCATTGCACATTAACAGAATGTGGCAGTAAGTCTAGGTAGCATAGACGAGGGATGTCAATCTAGATTTCCAGTACTGTAACGGCACATGTTGCATGGTTTTGGTAAAATGAGATCGTTTTTGAGCCTGTGGATAATGAAAGGGATGCATTCGTTGTATGAAGAAATGGATACGATGGAAGCAGTGGTCAGGATTTAAATTTTAATGTAAATGAATGATGTAGGAAACAAAGTGGACTGATTTTGTTCGTCCCTACATGATCCATTACATTTGAATAAGTAAACAGGAACTTGCTGCTTTTGTTTGTCCTGTTTGACAATACATGAATTTTAAGCAACACCGTTTTTGCTTTAAGAAGAAAATAAATAGATGTACAATAGATAAACAGAGTTTTGGTAAACTAATGTATTTTTGTTAAAGAAAAAGACCAATTCATTTTAGTTGTATTAATGTATTCTTATTTATTGATTGATTTGATTGATTTTTTACTTTGTTTTTTTTGTAACCAAGGATCTCATCTATCAACATCTCTACCTCATGGGCTCGTGGTGTTACTGTCTCTTTAAATCCTGTCTGTTATGGGACCGCTCATATTTATTTTAACCAATGCGGAGCCGGGTTGTCTCCTGTCCCGTATTGTTATTGGACTTTAGCGATGTCACACAAATCATACGGCGTAGAAACCCTATTGGAAACAAATGTTTCTATTTTAGTCGAGCAGGCTGTCAGGCTTCATACCAACTCCGTCTTCTTGTCTCGGGGCTACACGGGGGAACTTAAAGGATATCTGTAATGTGACTTTACGACTTCAACCTCGCCCAGAAAGCAAGACATGTTTTCTAGGAGGGTGAAAGACCAAGAGACACGGCTGACCCCCAAGTACACCTATGTATGTTCCTTGAGCTTTGTTCATGTTTTCAGTCTCCAGCGATGTGTGAACGTTGTTCTTGTGTGTTCTCTTGCTGTTGTTGTTAGCTAGTCGTGCTAGCTCGCTAGCGACGCTAACTAGCCCGCTAGCCCATTAGCCGATGTGGTCTAGGTCAGTGACTGATGTTAAACAAAGTGGCCACTATCTGACCACTCTTTAGCAGTCAGTGAAGTGCTCTCCTCGGTTGTCCGTGCTCTTGGCACCGTGTAACACGATGTGTGAAAGTTTCACATCACATCACCAAACAGTTCTAGGAGTTAACGGTTATGTTTAACTGTTTGTTTCAAGTTTACAGCTCGTAAAGTAACGGTCAATCAGTCACCTGTGCCGTTTGACACCGTATTTAATTCACCGGTGACTTCCAGATGCTGACCTTTTTCATGTCATTGATCTCTTCAAAATAAAAGGCATTTGATACACATGGAAAAGTGTGTAGCAGGTTAGCATGCTGCTAGCTCAACGTGACTCTTCATCAGGGGACAAACGCACTAAAGTGCATTGAGCTGGAAGTGAAGTGAGGCGCAGATGTATTTTTCATCAGGGCTGTAGTTCACCCGCTGTGCTGCATTATTGAGTGCTGTAAAGAGGCAGCTTGTTACCCAAAAACTTATTTACACCAGAGGCAACAAGGTGAGTGCAAGACTGTCTCAGTTGTAAAAAAATATATATACATTTTAAGAAAAAATAATAAAAACAGTTAAAAGAATCAAAGGCGGCTTATGACATCTGTTCCCAGACAGTTTAATATCCATTGGAATACAGACCTAGACCAGTTAATATGACTGTGTGTGTGGTATTTGTGGCTTTGTTTGTTTCTCGCACACGAGGCTTTCAATATATCTCCTGTACCGAGACACCGTGGACTATTAAACGCCAACGTTTGCTCAGTGGCAGAACAGAGGCAGCCGCTCTCAGTGGAGTTAGTAGCGTGGGGTGTAACTTTGTTGGAATGTAGCCATGCTCGTAGGTCATCTGTTGGTCTGTCTGGGCTGCAGTTGTAGTGGTGAATTAGTGTTCCTGACGAAGAGAGTGGGTTCATGTTCATGGACTTGGCATCTAGTGTTGCATCAGTCATACCTCAACTATTGTGAGTTCAGTGCTCTCAATTAGTTCTGTGGGTTTTTTGCATTTGGGGTTGGCTACAAGAAAGACTGATCGTACTTATTTCCATCCTTTGGTTTAAGTTAACTTTTAGTCTAACTGGGCAACCAATGGTGGCGTTGTTAAACATATTACACAAACATGCAAAACGATGGAGTGCTTTTATATGCTCCTTCTCTTAACAGTGGCCGTAAGCCTTTGTTAGAATATGTGTCTTCACATTTTTTATACATCTACCTTTATTCAAAGAGCAGTGTTAAGTTCACTGAATCGCACTACCTAGTGCACATAATACCTTCCAAAAACTCATCCTTTCCTTTCCCTGGCCAGCGATGGATCTGGCAGAGTTTTATGTTCCACCTGTTCCTGTCTTTATACTACCAGGTAGTGTCTCTGACGGAGTACCACCGTCGGATTGATGCACTAAACAGTGAAGATCTGCGCTCGCTCTGCAAACGACTCCAGGTGCCCTGAACCAGCCCTGTCTGCCCCCCTGTCTTTCTGCTCTGCCTGCACCAGGATGGTCTCCCACCGGCTCCTGCAGGCTTTAGCTGCTGCTGATGTTGCATACGAACCTCAAAAAAACACATGCTTTACATGACAGTAATCTGTTGAGTAGGTTTCATGAGTGTTTGGGCATTTGAAACCTGTTCAAAACTTGCAATACAAGATCAATTGGGAATGACTTCTCAAGCATTTGACGTAAAATATGTTTTATCAATTCATTACAGAAAACTGTGAGGTTTTCATGTGACATCAGCCTTATCTCAATGTGTCAGGCTTTCCGTCTTAGACTCGCTGTCAGTTTTTAGTGCGTCAGCCCACTAGATCAGATATGATCAAGGTGTAGATTTTATATTAGCCCCACAGAAATGGGTATTGTCTTTTATACACAAATGACCAGACTGTATAGAATAGTTGAGGACAAAGCAATGGTGTGTTGGTGAGAGGGGGATGGAAGTAAGACTCCCTTGACAGGCTGAGTGATATCTTCTGAGGACAATGCAAGTAGGCCCGACTTCAATGAGGACTGAAACATGAGAGCATCACAGCCACCAGTGGGGAAGCGCTCCACAATCAGCCTCTGTTATGGAGAAAGATGAATAACCCAAACAGTCTGTTGGTCAGAGAAAATGTCGAACAGTGGAGTGCAAATTATTCATTGGGTTGATTTCCCGTTGACTTTGCATTCTCCTCTCCCAGACAGTGTCTCTGCCCGCTCTCCTAGTGCTGCCAAACCAATCCTAGTCGTCTGGCAGCAAGATATTCTGCTGTCGTCATCAAACTGCTGGTTTATCAGTGTGTCGCCAGCAAACGCGGCGTTTATAATTCTGGCAGGAACATTGTTAATTTAAAATGGGAGCTTTTGTTGCTTTGGTTAAAGGAGAGTTTGTTAATGTCGTCCCAGCCTTCACCTTAGAGATGTCTAGTAAAACCTTGTAGAGTTTTGTGGTTACTGCTTTAGATAGTCTCTCTATGTAGGAGTAGTCATTGTAGGTTTATGACGGATAGCTATAACTGAACCCGTCCAGTGTCGGTGCCGTATGGAAGCTGAATGTTAAGCCTCTCCCTGTGAGTGTGTGTGTGCACCTCTGACATGTGTTTGTGCCTGTAGATCACCACCAAGGAAGAGGTGAACTCCAAGCAGGGCTCATCCATCAAGACGGAGCTGGAGCCAGAAACGTTCAAGCCCAACCTCAGAGAGTCCAGTGATCTCCTGGAGGCCGACCAGATAGAGAAGGTACAGACTGATGCAACACGAACATCCATGTCACTATGTGCATCTGAATGCTAATGGCAATGTAAAGGAGAAGGTAGGCAATCTTTTTGACTTTTCTTATGGCCAACAACTCACCCGAAAGACAAAAAGTAGCAATTAATCGATCCTGCTAACAAGTGTGTGCAGTGTAAATGTACATAAATACTCTCTGTTCAACAAATGTGTGTTAATCTGCTGCCGTCCTAAATAAATGACTTGTTATCTGTTTTTAAAGAGTTACACTTTCAGTACGAAGCAATGGGCTCGGAGCTCTGGCCACTTATAAGATAGAGTTAGAAAATATTGAGAGCGGCTAATGCTTTTATTTTTGATCTCTCCATTAGATTTGTAATAAGAAAAATGTTTTTAATTGAATAAGTATATTCGACTTATCCTTGAAATGGATAAACTGTATGTAGTATAATATGGTCTGTGGGTCATGGGGTTGGCTTGAATGCGAATGCAGAGGACTCGTTGGTCATTTGACTTCACCTCCTCCATTCTTGGAGCTCCCTTTCAGGAATGCATGTCTTCACTGCTGTAATAACCATTATACATCGTCAGCCCTACAGCTGTTAGGTGGGAGGAGGAATACATTAAGCAGGAATAATAATATGTATGGACAGAACCATCAGCAGGTACTGTCGGTGTACTCCTTACATCAGACAGAAACCAATAAGCTGTGGTCAGTGTTTTCACGGCTAATGTGGCCGTTAATATTCCTGAATTCCAGCCACATAGAACAATTTTAGGGTGTTGAGTTCACGAACAGACATGTCTTCATTGGAAAACCTCAATAGAAGCTTCAAATGTAAAATAGGATGACGTTCGATACAGCCCTAATTCAAATACAATGCAGCTTGTTTATGTTGTGGAGCGAGCAGTGAGTGATTTATGCAGAGATGGGTGAATGCAGAGCGATACTCTGCTCTCTGCTCACGTGCACCGGACACAGGACATGTGTCTCCCCCCCCCCCCCCCCAGCTCTGCCCAGTCGTGATAGACTTCCCCTGAATTCCCCGATACCTTTTCGGAGGCCGCGTCAAATTCCGACCTGCCGTATCGGCACTGCATCTCGCTGAACATTCAATTAGGCTGTTTGATTTGTTATTAATACTTCTATGTATTTAATAGACAGAATTCCTTTCGGTTTTTTCAGCCGTTGAGAATTCCATCTGCCAAACAACCTCACATCAGGGCAAAAAGCCGGTATAAGCCGGCTACCGTAAAGTCGGTGCGGTTAGAGGTGACGTGTTCTGTATGATTTAGGATTACAGCAGAAGAAAACTTTGATTTTATTCTACATTTAATCATGTAAAATGGATATTGAGTGGCTTATGTAAAGATGACACAGCACCTGTGAGAAACACGTGAAACTGACATTTCTGAGTCACAAACCTTTTATGTTCTTTGAGGTGTGGTGTACGCTCTGCAGGCATCGCGGGTGAGTACACGCACGGACATGCCCACACAGCTCCAAATGATTCCCAGTTGGCAGATAAGTTGCCAATGTGCAGCTTCCTCTAATCAACCCGAGGGCGGAGCTCAGAGCTCAAGGCGGCTCGCAGCGGAGCAGAGGTGAGCCGAGTCGGGGCTCATCTCCTCGTGGCTTCATTTCCAACTGCTGATTACGCGACTGCTTGTGCTGAACCAACAAGAATAAAAAGAGCAGAGGGACCCGTGAATTATTGGAGAGCGAGCAGAACGTTTAACGGCCCTTGTTCCATACAGAGGAAATGGTGCAGCATACTGTAAAAAAGTTGTCACTTTTAATTCCATGTTTTAGTTTGTGTCTGTTTTATCTGCCTGTTAAAATGAAGCATAAACTGCACGGCTCCTCCGGCGCCTTTGTCGGCTTTATCTCCCCCATGCACCACCGCCACTGTTAATCCTTCAGGCTGTCAGCAGGGCAGCCTCTCAGGGAGTGCCGGACCTCTCTTCCTCCTGAGACGCTCTGTGTTTGGAGCCCTGTTACTCTTCTTTAAACACCAAACCGTGTTAAAAGTTCACCGCGGATGTAATTGAGCATTGGTGGCTGTGGCCTTTGTGTTTCATTTCCTTTCTCTGCTTCTTTCCTCCTTCATCCTCCCCCCCCACCCCACAGCTTGCCAGGAACCTCCCACCTCGGACCATTGGGTACCCATGGACGCTGGCTTTTGGCACATCAAAGCATGGCATGAGCATTAAGAGTCTGTACAGAGCCATGCAGGGCCAGGACACCCCAGTGCTCATGGTTATTAAGGACAGCGACGGCCAGGTAAGCTGCCAATTCAACAGAATGTAAGTAGTGCACCGTAGTATATTGGAAGCGACGTAAAGCGCTCATCACTTTCTAATAGTTCAGCTATTGATGACGGAGTTGTTTTCGTTCTCCAGGTGTTTGGTGCGTTGGCGTCTGAGCCCTTTAAAGTCAGCGACGGCTTCTATGGCACAGGAGAGACCTTCCTCTTCAGCTTCAATCCAGAGTTCCAGGTACACGACTGACTTTTGTTTTAAGGCAAACCCAAATAGCTTCGTGTGTGTGGGTGTGTGGGCGGGCGGGCGGCAGATTTGAGGAAAGTTCAACAGCTTGTGTTGTCGTCTGCCCTCCCACCACCGTTTTAATGCACATGCTGACCGGGCCTCGAGCCAGCAGGGTTTCTACTCCAACACAAGCTGCCACCAGAGAAGGAGCTTTCTAGCAGCTATTTGTGTGACCGAGGAGTGAAGGTCGAGAGGCAACTAATGCTCTCTCTCCGTGTGTGTCAGCGTGTAAATGCGTGCATCATGTGTGACAGACAGTTGGCCTCCAGCGAGCCTGTGTTTCGGTGATGCAGTAACCTATATAGTCTATAGTGCCACTTGAAGTCTAGTGCAAAGCATCATACAACATGCATTCTGTGAACTTGCTTGTGGGTCACATGCTGTTGTCGATGCATGTGACACAGACTCACTCTGGTCCTCATAACGGCTGTGATGAATATCTGTTTACACATCTTTCTACATGATGCAGTGCTCTAAAGCCTCACTGCTCGGTGGCGTTTAGTGTTCTGTGACTTGCATTCTTGATTATGTTCTCTTGTTAATCACATTCACACTTAATGGATTCAAGCCAGGGTTACTGAGATGAATTGGCTGAAGGCAACACATAAACTGCACCACTCTTCACTAGGATTGTCTCATTTCTCTACAAACAAGAACTTGTTCCACAAAAATAATTAGAAAAAATGATAAACTCCCATAGCAGTTCTACACATAATGGCTTGAATGTCCTCATTAAAGGGCCATTGAATCCATCTGCTCTCTTCAAAGCCACGAGACTCCATTGATAAAAACAACACTTTCACTGGAGTTCCTGGTCCAGCGCTGCCTCAATCGCTCGCTTTGTCTGTGTGACTTTGATGAATCTGAACTAACCCTGTCAAACACCAAAGTCACACAAGCAGGAGTGAAAACTTCATGTCAGCATTTAACATGTCACACAATATCTTGTAATATGTGCTCTATTGTGTCTGCCACAGGTGTACAAATGGACAGGGGACAACATGTTCTTCATGAAGGGAGACATGGACTCCTTAGCGTTTGGTGGAGGAAGGTGAGCCCAAGAAACCAGTTCTAGCAACATTTGTTTGAGTTGAATCCAATGATACAGTGTCGTTCAAAGGAGGGCAGCTAAATGAAATGATTCTAGTGAAGAGGCTGATGAGTTGTGTTAACTGCATCAGAGAACGTAGCCGCCTGGAGAAAGAGTTTGCTGAGTTTGTTCTCTTTCCCTCTAGCGGTGAGTTTGGCCTGTGGCTGGACGGAGACCTCTACCACGGCAGGAGTCACTCCTGTAAAACATTTGGGAACCCCATGCTCTCCAAAAAGGAGGATTTCTATGTTCAGGACATAGAGATCTGGGCTTTTGAATAACAGGACAGTGCACCACAGGGAAAAAAAAAAAAAACAAGTCCTGCAAAGGGCAAACCGAGGGGTCCTCCTCCTTTAGAACAATGGCAACGCCCCAAACCTAACTGCACATCACCAGGGCGCCCCGGGCCAGAAGCCAGCTATCGGATGCTTGTTGTGCGTTACTACTGCAGTTATTACGGAGCTTTTTTTCTTTGTGAAAAATTACCTTTGTGTGTATCTTGTTACAGCCTTGTGCAGCGTCTTTGCAGAGTAGGCGGAGTGTGTGTAAAGCAGCGGAGAGAATGGTGGCGGGATTGTGGGATGAGGTTGTATCGGTATGAAATGGGCTGTCGGGCCTTGACGAGGAAGGGACTCCTCTCACCTGAGAGGTGGTGAAGATGATGGCGGCGGCTGAAGTTTGGGACTGCTGCGATGAAAGGAGAACCGCCCCACTGGCCCGGATGGTGCATCTGAACTTCACAGAACCTCAAGGAGTCCCCAGCACCCTCTCAGACCCCCTAGAACTTTGTTCATTCAGTAGGTTGTTACTAACGGTGCCGTCGGCCTCAGCGGGGAGTGACCCAGTTAGAGGGAAAGAAGCGAGACAAAAGCCGAACACATTCCATCACTCTTGACGGTGATGGTTGAGTGTCACATTTACGTTGTGATTTGAGGTAAAACAGCGATACACGAATCCCATCAGCAGCAGGATACGATAACACTTGACTCAGAGAGGAGAGGATATTTGGCGGGTAGGGGGGGACGTCAGTCTTTTTACAGCACCGTTTGCGGGGGGGGGGTTGTCTTCTGAGGCTCAACTATAGTGTTGTGTATTGTAGTCATCCTGTCGTTCACCGTCATAGCACACCATCTGAAAGCACATAGCTATAATCAGATCACCCATCGTCGTACCGTTCTGTTCAGTGGGTGTACATGTGAGTCCAGCTAACACCGGCTCCTCTCGCAGGACGCCGGCTGTACTGTTTGTAGACAGTAACGTGTTGCAATAGATTTGTGGAATATGCAAATAACTGTCCTGTGACCTCAACTACCCGCGGGCTGCGGCACTTTTGCCGCCACCTGTCGCTCTTTCGAGAGAGTAACTTGTAAAGCTTTTACGTCTCGATACACGATCGCTTTTCTGGGTGTCAGTCGGAAAGCCCGAGACGTGGTTAACTGTTTTACATGCATATATGACAATTATATATTGATATATATGATTATATTATGGATATATATAATCATATATATTTTGCTGTTAAGTGTGACAGTGATCTATTTGTGCTGATATTTCAGCTGTTACAATATAATGTATATTACCCTGTAAATTAATGTTCAAATAGTAGATTTGTTT